CAAGGACCATTGTCTGCAGATGGCTGTGTTTACCTGTTAGTCTTCCTGTATATGTGTGTGCTGGCAAGTGGGCAATGAAGTCTTGCAGTGACATGTGATCATGTCACCTGAACTGGAATCCATCTTTAACCTGGGTGCTTTTCCAGTGGGGGGGCGGGGGGTGGAAACCCAGAGGGACAAAGGGTTCCCACTTTATGCAAAAGATATATAAAGCGGTGGAAGAGAACAGAGGGGGAGAGGAGTCATCATGAAGAATCCCCTAGCTATCACCTGAGCTGCAACAAGAGCTGTACCAGGGGAAAGAATTGTGCCCAGTCCTGGAAGGTGTCCAGTCTGAGAAAAAACTTACTGAAGCATCTCTGAGGGTGAGATTATCTGTAATCAGTTTGATTAGGCATAGATTTGCGCATTTTATTTTATTTTGCTTGGTGACTTACTTTGTTCTGTCTGTTACTACTTGGAACCACTTAAATCCTACTGTCTGTATTTAATAAAATCACTTTTTATTTAGTAATTTACTCAGAGTATGTATTAATAACCTGGGGGAGCAAACAACTGTGCATATCTCTCTATCAGTGTTATAGAGTGCAAACAATTTATGGGTTTGCCCTGCATAAGCTTTATGCAGGGTAAAACGGATTTATCTGGGTTTAGACCCCATTGGGAGTTGGGCATCTGAGTGCTAAAGACAAGCACACTTCTGTGAGCTGTTTTCAGGTAAACTTGCAGCTTTGGGACAAGTGATTCAGACCCTGGGTCTGTGTTGGAGCAGACGGGAGTGTCTGGCTCAGCAAGACAGGGTGCTGGAGTCCTGAGCTGGCAGGGAAAACAGAAGCGGGGGTAGTCTTTGCACATTAGGTGGCAGCTCCCAAGGGGGTTTCTGTGATCCAACCCATCACAGTCGCGTCCCGACGAGACGCTATAATTCGATCCCCGAGAGATCGATTTCTACCCGCCGATCCAGGTGGGTAGTGAAGACAAGCCCTTAGGGCTTGTTTACACTACAGACACTACAGTTGCGACTCTAGGTTAACCTAAATTTTAGATGCAGACCAGCCCTATCTCTAGCTTTTCATGAGGCTTCTCACCATCCAGGAATATTCAAGAACAAAAATCAGTGTTCCCTGACTCCTGAGAATTGTACAACTGGATCAGCCTAATGCTAATTAACATCATTGCATTTTCTTAAGCAACTGCCTTTCAAAACCAGTTTCACTTACCCACACTATCCCCTGGGAACCAGGTGGGATGGATTCTATCTATCTACCTATGATATTTTTAAGGTGCTAATCACAGTACGATCTAAGCACAGACATGTCAAAACCAGGTAGCCACCATGGTTGCCGAAGCAGTAGTGTACCCTGTCAGTCAGAATCAAGTTCAAGGCTGGACACCAAGGCTATGTTTCCTGAGGCCTTTTTTCCCTTAACAATTTCCACTATTGCAGCAGGGCTAAATGACATAGTTGGTGGTGAAAACACCTGCTTCAGGTCTATACGAGTGCTTCCATGGGTACAGGGCTACTCACTGGTATTAACGGGTAAAAAAATTGCTAGTATGGGTGACTCCCATCTCAACTGTCAGCCAGTACAGAGCTTCAACAGTAAGGTAAAACACTAAGGACAAAAATTGTCCCAGTGCAGCTTATGATTGGTCCTGAGGGTACAACTTAAATGGTCTAGTCAGATACCTCAAGGAAGTCTTGTGCCTGCTTAGAGGTTTTGATTCCATGCATACAAACCCAGAGTTATTTGTTGAGGTTTTGAGAGTATACAAGACAGGTTGGGTTACCCCAAACTGCCTGTGGTGTTTCTGTGACACCTCAGCCTGCCTGTATACTCACAGAAAAGCATGTGAATAAGTTTATTTGTGACTAGCCTCATTGTCATATACATAAGTGTTAGCAGGATTGTGCCTCTAGGTAGGGATGGGTGTAAATACCATAAGCCTCTGGAATTCAGATTAGTTACATACCTTATCTAAGTTGCCTCCAAACCTTTTGCATCTGCTGGAGTCACGTAAGAAAAGGCTTCCTCCTTCTCAGATGTACAGTGGTTCCAGGCAGGATGCAAACACCATGAGAACAGTTTTTCTTCTAATAATGTGCTATTTCTGATTGAAGCTAGATAGTCAGAGAGACATGTGAGAATGAAAAACAAAGGGATAAAACCAGTATTCTAGCTTCTTTAGACCTCAAAACAATGTTTGGATTTCAATTTGGGGGGCAGCTCCTGTTTGAACCCTTTAAAAAAAATCAAAAAGCCACTCAAGGGTTAAAAGAAAATACAACAAAGCCACAATACATAGTGTGCGAGTGTTTGTTATGGTGACATTTCAACAAGGAAATCCTTTTCACTCTGTAGTGCAGGAAACAGGCCTCCTGCAGAATAAGCAAATGCAATGAATACAGACAGAATATTTCACAACAGGAATATGTTTTTCTTTCTCCTTAAGGGCTCATCAGCCTGGCGCAGTGGGAGATGCCCAGGGCTGAAATGAGACACTTACCAGCACGATTTATCCTGCATGGAGTAGAATTATAAGGAGTTGTGCCTTAATGCATTAGCTGTGTAATGAGTTTTACTGAAGCATTATTAACTTGCAGGATAATCACAATTCTGACCGCATCATTGTCTGCTTCACACATTTGGGCCTGAAGGAAAAGCTCAGTCCTCAGAGGTTTGGCTACAGATGTTGCCAATAAGAATATGGATTGTTCTCTCTGGCATTTTTTTTTCTGTTACTGTGTGATGTGTTTGCATAACTGGAGATATGGCACCTGTCTTTGTTACTGAAATTATTAGCTATTTTCCTCAGGAGGATTCATAGGAGCCCTCTATGAATTCTGAGGTATGGCTAATCAGCTTGGCAGCAATAATGTTGCTGCTCTGCACAATTGCCTTTATCATTCTGCTATATGCAGTGTAGCTGTAGCCATGTCAGTCCCAGTATGTTAGAGAGACAATGTGGGCGAGGTAATATATTTTACTGGACCAGCTGCTGACTTTCCCATCTTCACCCCCACCTTGTAAACACATACTCGATATTATGTTTCCCCTGTGCTATAAAATGTTGCCCCACACAGCTGATTCCAAAGGCAAAGGCCTTTTTTTCCAGGCAGTTTTTGCATTCACTTAGTAAATACTAACACAAACAAGCCAATGATTTACAAAAGAAGCTGCAAGGCTCCTTCACAGTGTAAGAATTTAGGGGTTCACATATGGAACAGAAAACTGGTTCATCTAGGCCCAGATTTAGATCTGACTTACAGTTGTGTAAACCAGGCGCTATTCCATTGATAGACTTGATGGACTTACGTCAGTGTTAAACCAGTGTAAGCAAGATTGGAATTTGGCCCCTTGTTTGATGCCCTGTCTTTGTCAATGGCCAGTGCCATTGTCCTAAAAGAAGGTGTGAGAAGAAATTTCTTTCTGACCACTCTGGGGAATCAGCATGTGCCCTGAAGCATGAGGGTTGGTAGCAATGATCATTATTATTTTAGCTAATATAACTGAAGATGCCATTCTTTTCCTATAAATGTTTAATCCTTTTTTGTGAAGTACTAAGTCAAGTGTAAGCCATTCAAACAACCACAAACCTCCATTTGTATTGCTATAATACTAGTCTGTTAGTATGCTTTAGAGAGGACAGTGGAAGGAGCTAATATTAAATTCCCAGGAAACAATCATCTACTCACAGTTACTTTAGAAATTCTGCATTATGAATAGAGCTGAGCAGACTCGACATTGCAAATAAACCACAATACAAATGTATTCCTTTTTCTGTTTGTGAATCATTGCCAGATCAATTCTGTAGTTACTATCATAAATATGTGCCAAATAAGGTGATGAACAATTTTCACACAACAGGTTGTTCATGAACTGTTCATTTACATGACTTGCTGTTCATTGTCAATGGTGCATGAGCAGTCACCTAAGTGCTGAAAATATGGCAATGTTCCTGGACTAGTGGATAAGACAATGGGAGTTAGGAGATTGAGTTCTATTCCTCACTCCTCCACTGATCTACTTGGACAAACCACTTCACTTTTTGTGCCTCAGTTTCCCAATACTTACTATCTGTTGTAAAGCACTTTGAGATCTACAGGTGAAAAATGCTAAGTAAGAGCTAAGTATTCTTCTTTTCTGTGCTGTGCAAATGTAACTTTGAACCTCCAGCTAACTCATGACGAATAATGAATGGAGATAGCAGGAAAATGGAATTTTCATCCTGGGGGAAATTCCATCATTTTGACATTTGTTTTTCTCTCAGATCATGATGAAAAGAAGAAATACTGAAAAGTTCCCAAACATTTCAATTAAGAAATATCAAAACAAACAAATCTGACATTTTGAAACAGAATAAAATACAAAATGTTGATTTGGAACAAAACATTACATTTCAAAATGTTGCTTCCTGGAATATAAAAATTTAGTAAGCGCTATATTTTCCAGTGAAAACACTTTACAGTGGAAAATTTGCAACCAGTTTTAATAATGAATAAAGTACAGCAAAAAAGATAATCTTGCTTATTCACAAATATCCTGTCTGCATATGAAGAAAGGCCATTTCTTACACAATTTTGTAAACAAAAACCCATTCAGAAGAAATTAATTATAAAGACTTATGAAGGTTATCAAACCAAAAACTATTTGGAATGCAAATGGATGTTCAGAAACACTGTTTGTGCCATATCTGATC